GTGCATGGGGAGGGTGTGTGTCCCTCAGCCCAGCCTGCACCCTCTGCAATCTGGAACCCCTCGAGGGATGTCTGACTGCCCGTTTAGGCCCAATCCCAGTGGGATGGGATTGGGCCAAAGCCCATCCTATAAGACCCTGGTTGGAAAGGGTCCAAGTAGAAATCAGTCTCTAGGGACCTCTGGGATTGGGCCTAAACGGGCAGTCGGACATCCCTCTCACAATCCAGAACTGCTGGCTCCCAACTGCTCACCTGCCTGCCTACCTGATTTCCCCTAACCGCTTCTGCCTGCCAGCCTGATCACCACCTAACCACTCCCCTGCCCATCTTATCGACATCTAACTGCTCCCCTGCTGGCTCGATTGCCCCTAACTGCCCTCCCCTGCAGGCCTGGTCACTCCTAACTGCCCTCCCCTGCAGGCCTGGGGACCCCCAAGTGCCCTCCCCTGCTGGTCATCTTGTGTCCACATGGGGGCGGCCATCTTGTGTGTTGGAGTGATGGTCAATTTGCATATTACCTCTTTATTATATAGGATAGATCTGGGTATTAGCGTGTGTCCGAGACCAACCATACCAAGCTTACTTGGCTTTGTATAGACCCAAACCTGAGAGTCCTGGGTGAGACCTGGGGAGCAGCATTAGATGCCAATAATATGTTGAATTTCCTAGTCTAGTCAACCCAACCTTCTTCATTTCGGGGAGCGTTGCCAACAACTGAGGTTAGAAACTTCCCCAGGGCGAACCAGGAATCTACAGGCTCTGTTCTGCTACTTCAACTACCACCCACACTTTCTTCTCAAGCCGGATGAGAAGCTTATATGAATTACCTCGCAGGTCCATCTTCTTGATATTTTAAAATGGCAGAATGTACGAGAAACACATAAACCCACGAGAAAGAGTAAGTCTTTGGCACATGGAGTTTGTGCTAGGGTGAGGTCTTAGGTGCAAGTAGGCGGCCAGGCCGGCTCTGTCTCATTTGGGCAGAACCAGAGGGATGAGGAGGATACCTGGTGGCTCTCAGAATTGCCAGGGAGGCTGGAGAACCAGAACGGGGGTATAAGAGGAGTCAAAAAACCGGGGGGCCAGGAAGAGCCTGGCCCATGCCCTGGACACAGCCGTCCCTGGGTTCTTGTCCCCAGGGAGAGCCGGTCACTGGCATTTCTGGCTATTGTAGCGTAGCCTCGCCCTGAGACACACAGAGGAGGAGGTCCCAGCACTATACGTGGGTTCAGCACGAGGCTGCTGAAAAGTGACAGCTGTCCTTCCCACGTGCTTCTCCAATACCGAGGGTCGGTATCCGGCCAGCCAGCCCCCGGCTCTTCTTAGGGCTCCCATCTGAGCTAGAGCCCTTGTTCACCATCTCCACCACTGCATTGGCACTAACCTTGGGGCAAGCTGCATCATCTTGATGCAAAGCCCTTGCCTGATGCGCCCACCATTCAGGTAGTAGGAGGTCTCATTGCACACGAAGATGGCAAGGACAGGATGGGCCCTTTGACAGAATTCTCTCCCGTCACTCTCACGTCATCCCTGTGAACTAGGCATTACTGCTCCCATTTCTCTTGGGGAAACTGAGGCTCCAGGAGGCGAGGAGACTACCAGCCAGAGGTGCCACAGCATATCAGTGGAAGAGCCAGCCCTGCCCGTTTGCAAGACCCGAGGCTTCTTTGATCCCTCGTCCCTCTGATCCCGCCGTCCCGTCGCCCCGCGCCCACACACAGCGAGAGCCATTCTGAGCAGGAGGTCAGCATCACGGTCTTGGGAGGAAGACAGCTGGCCCTTTGTCTCGGGAGCGCCCTTGGCTCTCGTAGCCTCAGAAGCACATCATGTTCAGACTGAGATGCCTGTTGATTCTGGAACTCGTCCCTTTGTGGCCAGGTCCCCACGCAGATGCAACCTACTCATCAAGGGGAGAACTGGGG